GAGAGAGAGAGAGAGAGAGAGAGAGAGAGAGAGAGAGAGAGAGAGAGAATGCATGGTGGCATGGTGTGGTGCATCGAAATGCATTGCCATTGCGACGCAGTACTGGTGGTCAACAGGTTGGATTTTTCGTTGCTCTCTGTCACCAGCTCACGGCATCGCTTTGGCCTTTCTGTTCGACTGCCCGGATCATGTGATGGGATCCTCAATGCTGCACTGCCATCAACAGCTCTGATTAGCAGACAACGCTGAACAGTTATGACCGGCATCCAATCCGAACTGTCAACGTGATTGGGTTCTTCCGTGGACAGGATGGGAACTCACTGCTACACCGTTGGGGATGCAATTGTTTTCCTCCCTTTGGCTTTAGCAAGACTAGCGACATTCGAAATTTGCCCCTCCCCGCCCAACCTCATATGCAGTATTATGCACGGCGCGAAAACTGTGTCGTTCTTTTTTTTTTTGTTTTCATAAATGAAACTCCACTGGTCAACATAGTAGTTGAATAACAGTAATTTGAGGATCATATGAAATGAGATCATTTCTTGATTTTGTAATAAAGCCAACAAAGAAACACCGCCCCCGTGAAAAAAAATAACAATACTAGTTATGCAATGAACAAACTCTCAAGAAGTTGACAAGAACAAAATACTTAGTTTGCAGCAGGTGAAACCATTAAACCACCAGAAACTTTCCCAGCTATTTTTTTCAGAGGGGTGCTGGGTCATGCGTTGGCCTGAAACGGAAGGGCGGCTGCCGATAAATCGGATCGGCGGCCAGTCTTGATTTTCGGGGCCGGCGCGCAATGCCCGCGATCGACATATGGCAAAGGAAGTAGTAGTTTAAGAGCCTGTTCAAGTAAAAGCCTAACCGCCCGCCCGCCCGACCAGAGCATGTAGCCAGCCAGCCAGCCGGCCGGCCAGCCAGCCACACAGAGACAGACACAAAAAGAGAGGCAGCCAACAGTCAGGCAGGCAAGCAGCCAGCCGGCAAGTCAGACAGACTGTGAGATAGACAGGGAGGCACATAAGGCAGGCACGCAGGCAGAGAGAGACAGACAGACAGACCGACTGAGTATGGTGCTGCAGGAAAGACAGGCTCAAGTACAGTCAGCTTTGAATAGTGCTGCATGGGGGGGAGGCTTGGGAGCCCCCTCTTTTCCACGCACTCTTCTGAGTGCAGAACCACACCATGGCCTCCGAAGAGAAAATGGGCCTCGCTGCACTACTCACTATGTGTAAAATGGAGACAGTATCATGCACTAAGATGTGGAAAGATGCACCTGCGGCCTGCCATAGCTTTTTCTTTCTTTCACATTGGGTCAGTGGTGCGACGTGACCCGAAGTTAGGTGGAGTGTTTGTACGGTACTGAGCAACCAGAGAATCAGGCAATCTGACGCAGTTCAGAATGAAATGACAGCAACAAAAAACAATTCCAGGATTCAGGGTTGTCAGGGTACATGCGCAACAATTTCTCCGACTGAATGGTACATGCAATGAGGGGAAGATTCATGTACAACAATTCTGGTGTGAACACAGCCAGAAGAGAACACACAATGCCCAAGTGAGAAAGTGATCCTCTGATATTCAATGATAAGCAACAGAGGAGAATAATGAATGCAGGAATGCCACCTATTTGAGTCTGTTTGTTTGTTTGTTTGTTTGTTTGTTTGTTTTCCTGGCCTTGTTCCTCGAGTATAATTTCATCTCGATACCAAAGACCCATACCTTTACCAGCGGGCCTTAGCTCAGTTGGGGCACCTATGAACTGTTGAAATACAGACCCCAAGTTCGAATCCAGCTGCAACCAGATGCACAGCGTAAGAAGTAATCTCGAATTGCCTGGAGCCAGTCAGTCCAATGGTCATGTCTTAAGGCTGTCGAGTCGACGTGTCACCCCTTTTTCTTCTCTTTTTCTTTTTGAACCCCGTCCTCTTACAACTCCAGGAGGCTTACAAGTTACAACCTTTCATTGACAGCAAATTGTGTGACCTTTTGTCAGTCGTGGTAAATGCAAAATGTACATATGGAAATCACCACCGGATCGCCACCGATGTGTACACCTGGTTGTACGTACGTGGGGCACACACGCAGGGGAGTACATACTATTTTACTATAACAGTATTATTAACTTACTAGTTTTTCTTTTAGTTTCTGAAATTCAACTAGAGTCTGGTTGGGAATTTCGACACTACTCCCAGGCAACCCGCGTACGCCTATGGTGCTAAATTTAATAACTATTTTCCTCGCTACCCTATAGCCGTAGATCAGCCCCAAAAAGAGGGGAAGTACTCGGACGGCCAACAAGGCGAGAGAGAGAGAGAGAGAGAGAGAGAGAGAGAGAGAGAGAGAGAGAGAGAGAGAGAGAGAGAGAGAGAGAGAGAGAGAGAGAGAGAGA